TCATTTCGCGCTCTTTATGTCATAGGAAAAAAATTCGAGAGAGGGGGGGTCGGTTTGCTACCCCCTGGATACGCTCCTGCCTGGTTAACGTTCGGTGCCGCCCTAAGGAACATGCTACAATTATGGATGTGTAACTTGAGTGCGTGGGATTAGAAACACCAAACACTATTAAGGGTGGATTATAATCTAAGCCTTTGTCAAGTTAGATGTAATAAATAATAATAATAATAATAATAATAATAATAATAATAATAATAATAATAATAATAATAATAATAATAATAATAATAATTGTCAAGTTAGATGTAATAAATAATAATAATAATAATAATAATAATAACTGAGGGTTTACGTACGAAATCATCGATGTAATTGCAAGGCACGCCGTAGTGAGAATCTATTTCCACTGACCAGAGTTGTGTCTCCAGGCTTTAAAGTTACACAAAAAGTTACTCCTGGAAAACTCAGCTCGTTAACGATAGGCGTGAAAAATAAAGATTTTAACGCCTTACCACCCACCCCACACCTACATACTGTCCTATAAAGTATATTCTCTTCCATATAGTGGTTTTGAATCATTAAACCCAAACAATTAATTTCATGTTCTCTTCTGAAGAGTGACGTAGAAGAACACATATCGAGAAAGTGATCCGAGCAGATTGCTCGGGCGATGCTACGAATGAATGGATGATTAAATGAATCGCTGAAAGAAAAAACCGTGTCCCACCACTTTTCAGCGTTTTCCTTGTGGCTTCGGAACGCGTAGCTATGCGAGAGCATGTAAGAAATCTATGGTGTCCTATTTATCGCAAATTGTAGAAGTAGAGAACTCCAAATACAGCTTATTTAACAGTGGGTTTGAATAGGTTCTCGTTTGTAAGAGCCTTAGCGCAATGGCCTGAGCTCTGTTTTGTTTACTGTGCGGAGTGGGGAAGTCCCTACGTCCCACGTAAAAGAGCTTCGTTACAGTCGCTGTAGGCCTGCAGTTGTATAAGCTTAGTGTGAACCATCAGCCTGAAACGTGAGCATCTCCTGGCCTTGCAGCTGCACAATTGGCGAGTTCTGGTGCAGCATTGTGGGCAGTTTTGTTAAGGTTTGCGAGGAGCACCGTTGCTTCCTCCCACGTGACCAGGAATACAGACCATCGTGAGTGGTTTGATTACTTTTCCCTCGAGGAATCGCCAGAGCCCGTTTAGAAGTTACTCATTTGGCAAACGCTCGAACGGCTGCACTAGAACCACTGTGGATTCTCAATATGGTTGGATCTACAAGTGCCAACTCGGCATCCACGTAATCTAAAATTGCTGAAGCACGTTGCCATGGCTGCGAGTATTAGCTCTAATTAATTTACGCTACGCCAATCACTGTATGCTTCGTCTTGTTTTATAAAGTTACGCAGGCTGCACTACTGTGAAAAATTTTGCCTGTCGATGCAGTACGCTCCGTACCACGTGATCAGCGAAGAAGGCTTCAACGTTCCTGTCAAAGGTGTATGTGGAGAAATTCTGGCGGCAATAACACGATCGCTGAGGACAAAGTGAGTACCTTCAGAAGTACACATATTTTAATTGTATTGCGGAAATTCGTAGAGCACATGCCAGAGAAAAAAAATGTGTTGCCAAAAGATACATAAGTCAGTCATAAACTACCCCACGTTAGTTCATTTCTCGTTGGAAGATGTACTAAAATTCGTTTCCCACGTTATCTGTCTGAGCTATGAAACACGCATGGGCAGTTGCACTACGCACAGCACTAGATGTTGGAACAACGATACTCAGCACAGTGAATGTATATATGTGATAAATACTGAGCAGGCAGTTAACTAGCTCCTTTTAGTGTGTATAAACATATACTCGACGCACTGTGACAGCGTCGTGTGGCATGTTAGAAGTCTTTTCACTTATTATAATTCTCCTCCCTTCATTCATCTCGCTTCGCGTCGTTTCAAGTTTAATTTTTCCGCATTACCTGAAATCGCGTAGCACTGAAATCGCATAGATATTTATTGGTACGAAGATATGATTGGCCAGTCACCTTCGCTAATTATGAGCTCGCTTACGTCACTTGAAGCATTTTGTTCTTACGAACCGTTGCCAACAAGGAAAGACTACAATACATCTTCTGCGACTTCCCTCTCTATTACGTGTAAAGACTCACAGTCGCTGTGAATCACCTTGACCACAGACCGATGATGACAGCAACCGTTCTGGAACATCGTACTGAGAAGTCGATGATGAAGGTGACGAATGCATTGCTCAAATTCTTGGAGACAAGTGACTTGCACCGGTGGTTACAGGCCAATAGTGACATTGTTACTATGACAAGTGTCCCTTTGTATGCGCATGCTACCCTCTCCCTCTTTCTATTTCTCTCTCTACCTCTGAATCAAGTACCCTCGTATGCACTTCTTAGTTTGGAGCAGCCTACCTGCCTTACCTCTCTCTCCTGTTTCTTCCCTCCTTTTCCAAGGCACAAGAAAGCTTTTGGAGTAGCCCTTCAGGATTTTTTTTCAAATTAAACCCTTCCCCTCAGGGTGCCTGATCAGGCTCGCACTGTTGCTCACGTGAAGCATTTGATAAGATGATGGCACAATTTCTTTTTTCATAGAAATTACCATCTCTTAGACAACCTCATAAAAATGCGCTTTTTCATTCTTTTCTTAATCAAGTACTCATTTGTAGAAAAGAAAAAACGCCCCACTTCGTCCTTACAAGGCTTACATACGTGTCATTTCGTACTACTCTTGCAGCTACACCATAACCTTCCCTTTGGATTCCTTCTGGGGATTGCTGAAGCCGGATGGGAACTGGACTGGAGTGCTCGGAATGCTGCAGCGTGATGTCAGGCGATCGCTTTAATGTCTTCCTGCCAATATATCTTCGCTTTCAATTCGACAGAGTCGGTGATCGACTTGTCTTGAAGTCCGCCGTGGTGTAGCGACGATTAAGGTTCCCGGCTGCCGACCCAATGATCGTGGGTACGATCCCAGCCGCGGTGGTTGAATTTCGATGGAGGCAAAGTGGTAGAAGTCTGCGCGCTGTGCGCTGTCAACGCACGTTAAACAACACCAGATGGTCGGAATTTCGGAAACCCTCCACTGCGGCGTCTCTCATACTCGTATCTTACATTCAGAACGCAGGACCTCAGAAAACATTACATTTATTGTCTTGAAACAGCGGCGCTAATACCCGTGCCACACGGGCAGGGAATATGGCATTTACCCCCGAATGCCTTCAGATTTATTGCCATTCGCGCGGTGTCACATGGGCGAACGAAATGGCATTCGTCCGAATGCCATTCGCCACCAAATGCCTTCGCCAGAACTCAGTTGACTGAGAAATGCCTACTCTCGACGACACAGCTCGCGAAGTGCGATTTACCTTAAGGTAAATAAAACAAATCATATTCAGCTAAAAAAAAATTTCCCGTCTTTTATTTGCACTAAACTCTTAAAAAAGTGCTTTGAACGTTATACGAAGGTCAGGTTGAAATGGTTTGAAATTAATTGAAGTTCAATGTCCTGAAGCTGGCGCATAACTCGTCTCTGCTCCAGAATTACTCGCTCTTGAGCACGATGTTAGCACACAAGTGCTGCCGTGAAAAAATGAACTCTGCGAACATCTTCTTCTGAGAGATGCGACAGGTGCGATGCGACAGGCGCCATTTTCTATTTACGCTCTGGATCTGACTAGTGTTGGCTTAGGTTGCTACGGTCGGCTGCAACGTCGTAAAACAAAGCAAGAAACTAAAACCTAAGGCAGCGTAATATGCTTATTTCTACATTTAATGATTATCTGATGTGTATGAAGCTTGTAAACGCTTGTTTATTTTTTTATTGCTATTCACCCAGTGCTCACTTGGAAGGTGCTGCGATCGACATCAAGTCAAATGTCATTCGCTTTGGACGTGTAGCAGCGCCGCCGAAAAAAATGTCATCCGGGAAATGAAGGCCTTCGCCACCGAATGTCATTTTCTATGCCCGTGTGGCACGGATATGTTCTGACCATAAAGCATGAGCTCCATGCTACACATAAAAAAAAAAAAACGGACACACGGTATCTGTCATTTTTGTGCTTCAAATTGCCCCACTGTCAGACCATCTGAAGGGACATTAAGCGCAGAGGTAACGATGCAGTCAAATGCTAGCACAGCCGCCGAAGTTAATTATGCAATTACTTATCAAATTTTATCTTTATAAGAACCATTTTAGTAGTGGGAGTCGACACAGTAAAATTTCTGCGAAAAAAAAAAACACATCCAGAATTCACATAGCTTGTATTCGCGATTCTTATTTGCGATTAAAGAGGGCACGGGCTAACAGAATGTCCAGGATGAGAATAGGTTGCAATACTTTATTACAAATCATTGTAGCCAAAGACAGTAGCGTCGCAGGTATTTTTACACCGAAAGGGAGAGGGAGATGTTAGCTGTACGTTCTATATGTTCGTGCGGGCGTTTTAATGTGCGTGCATAAGTACACATACAAAACTGCAAAATATTAGGGAAGCGGTTGTTGAACCCCCCCCCCCCCCCCCCCAATCTTTCTGGTCACCCCAGTGATTTAGTGGGCTTTTATAAAAGCAACGGTTATCTGGTGGTTACTGTAACCCACAAATCAAGAGATTCGATAAAACTGCGTGAAAACATTGCACGCATATCCTGCAGTTAATAGATTCTCACTGTCATACCACCTTCTTTGCCTTAGTAGTACATTAACCACTCGTGGCGCCCTTTACTGGTTAGTTAACTGACAACCTCCAGTCCATCTCAATAAACAAGCAACCCATATAATTTTACGAAAAGTCGGATAACTTTATCAGACTTGGTCAGCAACTGTGTTTTCATCTTATTCAATGCATGACCAGATGAACTTTCATCGAACTCTCGACATTCATTGCTTCTTCTCGCTTCTGCAGGAGGCTGATTTGGCGCTGTCTGTGATAAATCCGACGAGTGAGAAGAAGGATGTGGCGGTGGAATCGGAGACGATCCTGCCCATCGAAATCATGATTCTCGCAGGCCGCCAGTCTCGCCACGAGAGCAACATACTCGGCATCATACAAATCTTCCCTTGGGAGGTGAGAGCTACAGATCAACGGCTAAGCCAAGCACGTGTAAAGAACTGCCGTAGCAGAAAGGGGGTGCCCCCCTCGCCCACCGGCTTAGCCAGTGCTTGAGTATACCGTAGTACTCTCAATTGAGTTTTGAAGATTCAAATCTGCAAACTTAACAGCCGGATATGGCTGTTAAGCCCGGTGTGTGGAGACCACAACAGCCTTCTGTGTCGAGACAATAGGTCGACAGAAATTCTGCTGTTCTCTTATACTCATTCGTGAAATATAAAAATCACTTAGGGCTTATTCAGACTCACGCTTACTAAAATTTTTCCTGAGCCGAACTCACTCGAGCTCACTCACGAGAGTTTTCGCTAACCATATTCACTGGGACTCAAGCGAACCAAAATATTACTCACCCGGTCTACCTCGAACTCCGACTCACGCCTCCATGTGAGTCTTCCCCGCCGCTGTGGTCTAGTGGCTAAGGTCATTATCATCATCATCAGCCTGACTACGTCCACTGCAGGACAAAGGCCTCTCACATGTTCTGCCAATTAAACCGGTCCTGTGTTTGCTGCTGCCCATTTATACCCGCAAACTTATTAATCTCATCTGCCCACCTAACCTTCTGTCTCCCCCTAACTCGCTTGCCTTCTCTGGGAATCCAGTAAGTTACCCTTAATGACCAGCGGTTATCCTGTCTACGCGCTACATGCCCGGCCCATGTCCATTTCCTCTTCTTGATTTCAACTATGATATCTTTAACCCCCGTTTGTTCCCTAATCCACTCTGCTCTCGTCTTGTCTCTTAAGGTTACATCTACCATTTTTCTTTCCATTGCCCGCTACGTCGTCCTCAATTTAAGCTGAACCCTCTTTGTAAGTGTATAGGTTTCTGCTCCATAACTAAGTACCGGCAAGATGCATCTGTTATATACCTTCCTCTTGAGGGATAGTGGCAATCTACCTGTCATAATTTCAGAGTGCTTGCCAAATGTGCTCCACCCCATTCTTATTCTTCTAGTTACTTCAATCTCGTGGTTCGGCTACGCAGTTATTACCTGCCCTAAGTAGACATAGTCTTTTACAGCTTGAAGTGCACTATTACCTATCTCGAAGCGATGCTCTCTTCCGAGGTTGTTGTACATTACTTTCGTTTTCTGCAGATTAATTTTAAGACCCACCTTTCTGCTCTCCTTGTCTAACTCCGTAATCATATGTTGCAATTCGTCCCCTGAGTTACTCAGTAATGCAATGTCATCGGCGAAGCGCAGGTTACTAAGGTACTCTCCATTAACTCTTATCCCTAAGTGTTCCCATTCTAGGCTTCTGAAAGCCTCCTGTAAGCACGCGGTAAACAGCATTGGGGAGATTGTGTCCCCCTGCCTTACACCCTTCTTGATTGGTATTTTGTTGCTTTTTTGTGAAGCACTATGGTAGCAGTTGATCACCTGTACATTTCTTCCAGCGTGTTTATATATACTTCATCGCAGTGTCTGCATGACGGCTGATATTTCTACTGAATCAAACGCCCTCTCGTAATCTATGAAGGCTATGTATAGTGGTTGGTTATATTCTGAGCATTTCTTTATTACCTGATTGAAAGTATGAATGTGGTCGATTGTTGAGTATCCTGTTCGAAATCCTGCTTGTTCTTTTGGTTGATTGAATTCTAATGTTTTCTTTACTCTGTTAGCAATTACCTTTATAAATAGCTCGTTTACTACAGAGAGCAAGCTGATCGGCCTGTAATTCTTCAAGTCCTTGTCATCTCCTTTCTTGTGTATTAAGATGATGTTAGCATTCTTCCGAGACTCTGGTACTCTTCCCGTCAGGAGACACCTTTAAACAGGGTGGCTAGTTTTCTAACACAATCTGTCTTCCATCTTTCAGCAGATCTGATGTTACCTGATCCTCACCAGCAGCTTTGCCTCTTTGCATGCTCTCCAAAGCTTTTCGGACTTCGTCAGCTAGCACTGAGAGGGAAAGTACAGGAATTCAGAGTCTCGCTTCAGAACAGGTACTCGGCTCTTAGTGAGGAAACCAACCTTAGCGTAGATACAATGAATGATAATCTGACGAGTATCATTACGGAGTGTGCAGCGGAAGTTGGAGGCAAGGTAGTTAGACAGGACACTTGCAAGCTTTCGCAGGAAACGAAAAATCTTATTAAGAAGCGTCAAATGATGAAAGTCTTATGTACAACAGACAAAATAGAACTGGCAGAGCTTTCGAAGTTGAATAATAGACGTAAGGTATGCGATGTAAGAAGGTATAACATGGAGAGAATTGAACACGCTCTGAAAAAATGGAGGAAGCATCAAAGCAGTGAAGAGGAAACTTGGGATAGGCGAAAAACGGATATATATGCACTAAGGGACAAAGAAGGCAAAATAACTACCAATATGAACAGGATAGTTAAAATAGCGGAGGAGTTTTACAGAGATCTGTACAGTAGCCGGGACAACCACGACCATAATACTATAAGAAGCAGCATTAAGTAACCCAGATAACACCCCACAAGTAATGATAATGGCTAAGGTACTCGGCTGCTGACCCGCAGGTCGCGGGTGCGAATCCCGGCTGCGGCAGCTGCATTTCCGATAGAGGTGGAAATGTTGTGGGCCTGTGTGCTGGGAATAGGGTGCACGTTAAAGAACCCCAGGTGGTCGAAATTTCCGGAGCCCTCCACTAAGGCGTCTCTCATAATCATATGGTGGTTTTGGGACGTTAAACCGCACACATAAATCAACCATGCGAGTCACAGGGAGTGCTATTGAGTTGCCACATGAGTGAGTTCACCGACCTATGGAGAAGGCAGGTGTCGTTCGGCAAAAGTACAAGTACGGCAAACGTCCAAGTTCAAGCAAAAGAGGCCACTTGACCAGGATTCATGGAAATTAAACAGGAAATGCCCTAAATCTGCGCGTAATTATTATTTTTTGCGTGCAAGCATGAGCCCCGAAATCCTCTTGCTCTGCTGCCAATAGTTCCCGGAACAACGGTGACATCCGCTGCCAGCCACTGAACTGGCTGTATGATTCGTACGTAGTTCGGGCGCAAAGTCTTGGCAACCGTGTTCGCGAAAACAATAGCCCAAGTGGAGCGGGCCCATAAATTTTGCTGGTGTCTATTGACATAGAGCCTCATAGCTCTCTGAGGGGCACAAGATTAGATATTGGGATCCCTCTCGCGCAATGAAGGGCACAAGGTCAGAGTACAGTTTCACTCTGTTTTTTTTTTGTTGGCTTGTTCAAGCTACTTAGGAATGTATATGTAGGCATATGCATTCTTCACCTCATCTATTGTATACATCGCGATAATGTTTTATAGGTATTTAATTACTATATACCTTCCCGTTACTTTTTTTATGTTTGGGATGTTTATACATCAGATCATAATTTGCTGATGTAGAAAACGATGTTCACTATTGGCGTCTGAGTTGTGTATGTGATATTTTCTTTATACCAAACTGTGTTTCGGAGCGAAAGTCTGCATCAGGCTATCAATGTGGCCTTTAGCTTTTGCTTCCTATTTCATGTGCACACAAAAATGAAATCTCAAAAGCCTCAAAATTTCAAATATTGCGACACCTCTCACGTACTGAGTGGCGAACGTGACATGTCACGACACCTTTCGCACAGCAAGGCCTAGGACAGGATATTGTAACACTCCAGGTGCTGTGAAAGGCCTAAGGTAAGATATTGTAACACATTTGACGCTAAGAGGGGCACAAGGTTAAATATTCTGACCCACTGGGCTACAAAGAGAATGTTTACCAATAACAGGAAGCTAACGACATCGATGGCATCTGTGTCACTGGATGGGGGTGAAGAATGGTGTTACAGGCCGAGTGACATTCTTCAAATCACCGTAAAAGTACAAAAATAAGTCATGAGCCATTCCACTCCTTTAAGGTGAATTACCAACGAAGCTAGGCAGCCGACAGTTTTATCAATTTCTATTGTTTACACATTTCTTGAAACTATGTAATTTAGCGTATGCTCCTTCCACTTTTATTTTCGTGGGCTACAAGTTAGGCGCACAGGTAATTTACGTACGCATTTATTTATTTCCCAGTAATGAACTAACATTTTATGTAAATCAGAAGTGAGCAGCAGTGTTCGCCCAATTTCCGTGGCACATATCTGCTAGGTTTTTTCTGTTGAGCAAACATTTGTTGACTAGGTAACTGCTTGCGGAGTTACCATATGTTCAAATTTTTATTACTGTCAGGGTAGCAGTCACGTCATTCAATTCGCCTAGTTTGCCAGCTGCCGTTTGGGCCCAGTCTCGTTGCCCACGGTCACTTTTTTTTTTCTCATTTTAAGGTAAAGGACGTTCAGTATTGATTGTTTTGTATTTGATAGGTCACTGTTCGTGGGGTTTGAAATGATCTAGTTGAATAACTAGCTAGTGACTTAGTTAAATAACTAGTTTTGTAACTAAGTCACGGAATGACCTAGTTACATAGTCAACACAAGCGATAAGCAGACAATGCGCTTCAAAAACCCGCGCTTTCTAAAACAAACGTGCTTCCACGGCGCGCCTCGAAACGTTTCTCTTATTCACCACTAGATGGGAGTAGCCGTTCAAAATGAGCTGGTGTGTATTCGATAGGGCATAGCGCATCGGCTCTGCTTGAAGGCATCCTGCGCACTATGCGTTTTGAACGCTGTTCATATATTCACATTTGCGGACTTCACCTCTTAACGCGAACCACACACACACACGCACACACACACACACACACACACACACACACACACACACGCGCGCGCGCGCGCGCACACACACACGCGCGCGCTCGCACACACACACACACGCGCGCGCGCACACGCACACACGCGCGCGCGCACACGCACACACACACGCGCGCACACGCACACACACACGCACACGCGCACACGCACACACGCACACACGCACACGCACACGCACACAGAGAGAGAGAGAAATTAAAAGTACTGATAGCTCACGCTGTAAAGAAACTTTCCACTGTTCTCACCCAACGACGGCCAA